AGTCGATTTATGCATGTCCGTCCGTCCGTCCGTCCGTCTGTCCGTCTGTCCGTCTGTCCGTCTGTCTGTCCATGTTAAATTGTAAACAAAGTACAGGTCGCATTTATGATCCGAATTGGATGAAATTTGGCACAGGTCACATATTCGGCCCAAGGACGAACCCTATTGAAATTGGGAAAAATCGGTTCAGATTTGGATATAGCTCCCATATATATATTTAACCGATTTAATGTAAACGGTCCCTATATATCTTTCGATTTGCACGAAATTTTGTACAGCCTAATCATTTAGGTCTAGAATGATGTCTGCCAAGTTTCGTAAAAATCGGTCCAGATTTAGATATAGCTCCCATATATAGTTTCGTCCGATTTCATGTAAATGGTGCACCAAAGTCCCTATATATCTTTCGATTTGCACAAAATTTGGTACAGCCTAAGCACTTAGGTCTAGAATGATGTCTGCCAAGTTTCGAGGAAATCGGTCCAGATTTAGATATAGCTCCCATATATAGTTTTGTCCAATTTCATGTAAATGGTGCCCCAAAGTCCCTATATATCTTTTGATTTGCACGAAATTTGGTATAACGTACTGAATTGAGCCTAGAATGTTGTCTGCCAACTTTCGAGAAAATCGGTCCAGATTTAGATATAGCTCCCATATATAGTTTCGTCCGATTTCATGTAAATGGTGCACCAAAGTCCCTATATATCTTTTGATTTGCACGAAATTTGGTATAACGTACTGAATTGAGCCTAGAATGTTGTCTGCCAACTTTCGAGAAAATCGGTGAAGATTTAGATATAGCTCCCATATATAGTTTCGTCCGATTTCATGTAAATGGTGCACCAAAGTCCCTATATATCTTTCGATTTGCACGAAATTTGGCATAACGTACTGAATTGAGCCTTGAAAGATGTCTGCCAAATTTCGAGAAAATCGGTCCAGATTTCTATATAGCTCCCATATATAGTTTCGTCCGATTTCATGTAAATGATGCACCAAAGTCCCTATATATGTTTCGATTTGCACGAAATTTGGCATAGCGTACTGAATTAGTTTCAGAATAATGTGTGCCAATTTTCGAGAAAATCGGTTCAGATTTAGATATAGCTCCCATATATAGTTTCGTCCGATTTCATGTAAATGATGCACGATTTGCACGAAATTTGGCATAACGTACTGAAAATCGGTCCATATTTAGATATAGCTCCCTTTTATTATAGATTGATTATAAGTAATTGACGCACCAAGGATCCAATAGGCTGATAGGAACAAAACGTTCTGAAATTAGTATAACCTAACCTGTGACAAGTTTGTTTGAATTCGCTTAATATTTGGATAGAGCTTCCATATATATTTTCGCCCGTAAAGTGGGCATCAAACTCCTCATGTTAGTCAGATTGACATCAAAGTTTGCACAACGTACAAAATTGAGCATAGATTTACGTAGTTGCGTTTTCTAGAAGTACAGACATAGCCCAACCGATGACGTATTTATATTTGTTTGAAGTCGATTTACATACTTTATGGATAGATCTACATAGATTCACATTTAGATAAAAATCACATATTTTATTTCATCCAATTTCATGTTAATCGTCCTGTTTAATATACCCATAGTGGTGAAGGGTATCATATAGTCGGCCCCGTCCGACTTTACTACTTTCCTTACTGGTTTAATGTAGCATCTGATCCGATTTGCATCAATTTTGACCAGTGTTCATCTTGGAATTGGAAACATGATGAAATACAAGTTCTGATAAAATAAGTTAAGTGTAGCGTTATATTGGGGCTACCCTGAAACTTAGGTCAGTATTAATAATGTTTAGTATGGATATGTGTTATGTTATGAGAACCCAAAATACAAAATGTAGATGTTATTTGTGGAGGGGGAGGGGTGGGGTCCCATCTTCGGACTTAATCTAGACTTCGTAAAGATAATGGGTTGTGCAAAGTTAGGTTCAAATAGGATATTCCATTTGCTTATTCCCTTGTATCGAATGACATATGTATGGATTAATGTTAGTCGGTTCAAATATAGATATAGATCGCATAGATACATCTCGACCTAGTCAGACTTTACTATTTTACTGGTTGTTATTCATGTTGTTGTTTTCAGCATTTGCAAGAATTCCGTTGTAATTGGTAAGCGATTGCCAGAAATGATTTCAACCACAAACGCAACGGGCTAAGCAGAATTTTCCATTGTGCGTTTTTATACCCTTCACCACACTGTGGTGCAGGGTATTATGTCTTTGTGCATATGTTTGTAACAGGCAAAAGGAATCGAGATGGACACATGGTTCCTTTTGAGAATATGCATAGAATCACTTTCTGAGTCGATTTATGTCCGTCCGTCCGTCTGTCCGTCTATAGATGTTAAATTGTAAACAAAGTACAGGTCGCATTTATGATCCGATTTGGATGAAATTTGGCACAAGTCACTTATTTGGCTCAAGGATGAACCCTATTGAAATTGGGAAAGATCGGTTCAGATTTATATATAGTTTCGTCCGATTTAAGGTAAATGGTGCACCAATGTCCCTCTATATCTTTCGATTTGCACGAAATTTGGCATAGAGTACTGAAATAGGTGCAGAATGATGTGTGCTAAGTTTCGAAAAAATCGGTTCAGATTTAGATATAGCTCCCATAAATAGTTTCGTCCGATTTTAGGTAAATGGTGCACCAAAGTCCCTATATATCTTTCGATTTGCAAGAAATTTGGCACAGCGTAATGAATTAGGCCTAGAATGATGTGTGTTAAGTTTCCTGAAAATCGGTTCAGATTTAAATATAGCTCCCATATAAGGTAAATGTTGTACCAAAGTCCCTTAGTATCTATCGGATTGCACGAAATTTGGTACAGCGTAATGAATTGCAGAATGACATATTTATGGATCCAATTTCAATTTACTGGTCCTTTAAAAATGCGATGTCTGTTAGGATTCATCTATTGAATATACTCAAAGTGGTGAAGGGTATCATATAGTCGGCTCCGACCGACTTTACTACTTTCCCTATTGGTTTGTTATCGCATTAACGCACGCAAAAAGTTTACATATATTTAACTCCGAAGCGCAACGCACATCAACTTCAAGCGTTAGTGTTATCGTTTCCTTGTTGTTGTTGTATTTTCGATAGCACATAACACGACGGATGGCTCAACGCGAACATTCTGCTTGGTCTTTCACTCAGTGGACAATGGTCTGGGGAGTACGGTGACTGTACGCAAGGAACTGCACATAAGGGATATGAGTACTAATAGTACAAATAATAAATACAAAAGAAAAATAAATTCGATGTGGTTGTTACATACAACAGATGTTAGTATCTACATTATTCTGTAGATAGAACAGACATAGAATCTTTGGAGGACAATTGAGATGGAATCGGGAATCAAACAGGCAGACTTGGATTTTTTGATTTGTATGAAATCGAGTAAAATTATGTATGGGAGCTATATATAAATACATGGACCTAATTGAGAAACCGTTTTACATAAAATCGAACGAAAATATATATATATATATATATATAAGACCTATATCAAAATCTGAACCGATTTCAACAAACCTTATCACACATCAGTTTTTCCTCAATTGCATTCGCTATGCAAAAGTTTGCTCAATCGAATAAATATTAGTAGTTTGGTGTATCATTCACAAAAAATCGGACGAAACTATATATGGGAGCTGTATCTAAATCTGAGCCGATTTTAATAAAACTTCGCAGACATCAGTCTGGACCCATTTCAGTACTCTGTACAAAATTTTGTCCCAATCGGACAAATATTTGGAGCTTGGTGTATCATTCACAAAATATCGCACGAAACTATATATAAGAGCTATATCTAAATCTGAACCGATTTTCTCCAATTTCAATTTCATCCAAATCGAAAGTGATTCTATGCATATTCTCAAAAGGAATCGATTTCTTTTTCCTGCTACAAACATATGCACAAAGACATAATACCCTGTACCACAGTGTGGTGAAGGGTATAAATACAATGACATTGCACTTTCCGCACCATGAAATCGGCTTCAAAATTACTATTTGTCTTCTTTGTAAATTTGTGACTTTTTTTACAAAAAATGGTTACGGCCTCGATTGATTAAAAAATTGAATTTATCATAGAAGCAACGGAAGCACTTGTTATATTATTTTAATTTAAATATGACATCATTACAAGCAGAGCTTTTTTCATTACACAAAGTATGAAAAAATGCAAGTCGAGCATTTCAGGTCTGACTAAGTAATCTTGAACTTGAACTTCATTGCATTAAATAAACAAAACAAGCTGTAAGGGGTTCAACGACTGTTAGGCGTTGCAAGACACCTAAAAGAAATTCGAAAAATTGTATTTTCTAAAATACTCGATTTATACACTGAAACTAGATCTATGTTCTACCGATGCTTTCTATTGCCACTGATGATCGTGACATTTGCCTTAAAGTAATTTAACTCAAAACATAAGAACACAGCTGGCTCAAAATGCCAAAATGAAAACGAGCCAAAAACGTTATGCAAGAAACAATGTTCAAAACAGAATCGCGAAATTTGAGTTAAGAGAGTAGTTACGCTTTAGAGCTGGGGCTGCAAAATGCATTTAAACACCCGCCACATAGCGGAAACAAAGCAAACGTGAGCTAAAGCTTTGTGGGTTAAGACCTGACGACGACGACGACGACATTGAACTCGAAACGAAAATTGAGAATTAAATCACGGAATTATAGACATTTTTTGTGGAATAAGAAAATATTATTATTAGTGATTTAAGGAAATAACACAGAATATTGAGAAAAAGGAAAATATCTAAATAAAATAAGAAAATGATCCTGTTCAATGTGTAAAAATGTAAACAAAGAGAAATACCAAAAAAAATATAATTTTATAAAATTTAAGAATAATAAATATTATAAAAATAAATTAATTCAAATATATCGAAGTTGAAAACGAAAATATTCAAACCTGAAAACGTTGTGAAAAGTGCTGAGAAAATGTTTAAACTACTACTGCTGTCAGCTGTTCTCATCATCAGCTGTTGTTCTTCCAGCCATGGCCGTTATTTGGGTCATTCTCTGTATAGACCCCAACCATATAATCCATATCATGATTATGGTTATCCTCCTCCTCATCCTCCCTCAACCTCAATAGGTTTTCCCCATCAAGTACCAACCAGTTATTATCCAGCTGGAACATATTTTGATCAACGACGTGGAATATTGCGACCATTTCCCGGTGGTGGTGTACCCATTATAGTGGATTATGTGAGTGAAAGTTAATTTAATCGATATGGTTGATTTAAATAATAAAGGAATGTTTTAAAAATAACGAATGCCAAAAAAAAAATATGAGGACGTGGACGTCATGTTACAAAAATAGCGTATTTTGGACTTTTCGATTATCAGTGCTTAAGATACTTAAAAAAAAATTGTTCAATAATTTTCATCACTATAAATCGAAAGTGGCATGGAGATAAAAAGTTGTTTCGACTATCGTAATAATATGCAGTCGGAAATCCTGTCCGAAATCGAATTTTCAAATGCAACACTGTTTATACCCTTCACCACACTGTGGTACAGGGTATTATGTCTCTGAGCATATGTTTGTAACAGGCAAAACGAGATAGACACATGCTTCCCCTTGTGAATATGCATAGAATCACTTTCTAAGTCGATTTATGCATGTGCGTCCGTCTGTCCATGTTAATTTGTAAACAAAGTTCAGGTCGCATTTATGATCCGAATTGGATGGAATTTGGCATAGCTCATCTATTTGGCCCAACGACGAACCCTATAGAAATTGGGAAAAATCGGTCCAGATTTAGATATAGCTCCCATATATATTTTCACCCGATTTAATGTAAATTGTGTACCAAAGTTCCTGAAAATCATTCGATTTTCACGAAATTTTGCATAGCATACTGGATTGAGTCTAGAATGATGTGTGTAAAATTTCTTAAAAATCGGTTCAGATTTAGATATAGTTCCCGTATATAGTTTCACCCGATTTTAAGTAAATGGTGCACCAAAGTTCCTGAAAATCATTCAATTTGCAAGAATGTTGGCATAGCGTACTGAACTAAGTCTAGAATGACGTGTGCTAAGTTTCGTGAAAATCGTTTATACCCTTCACCACACTGTGGTACAGGGTATTATGTCTCTGAGCATATGTTTGTAACAGGCAAAACGAGATAGACACATGCTTCCCCTTGTGAATATGCATAGAATCACTTTCTAAGTCGATTTATGCATGTGCGTCCGTCTGTCCATGTTAATTTGTAAACAAAGTTCAGGTCGCATTTATGATCCGAATTGGATGGAATTTGGCATAGCTCATCTATTTGGCCCAACGACGAACCCTATAGAAATTGGGAAAAATCGGTCCAGATTTAGATATAGCTATATATTTTCACCCGATTTAATGTAAATTGTGTACCAAAGTTCCTGAAAATCATTCGATTTTCACGAAATTTTGCATAGCATACTGGATTGAGTCTAGAATGATGTGTGTAAAATTTCTTAAAAATCGGTTCAGATTTAGATATAGTTCCCGTATATAGTTTCACCCGATTTTAAGTAAATGGTGCACCAAAGTTCCTGAAAATCATTCAATTTGCAAGAATGTTGGCATAGCGTACTGAACTAAGTCTAGAATGACGTGTGCTAAGTTTCGTGAAAATCGGTTTGGATTTAGATATAGCTCCCATATATTTTGCTCGATTTTAGGTAAATGATGTGCCAAAGTCCCTATATACATTCCGATTTGCACAAATTTTGGCATAGCGTACTGAATTGAGTCTAGAATGATGTGTGTAAAAGTTCTTGAAAATGGGTTCAGATTTGGATATAGATCCTGTATATTTTTTCGGCCGATTTAATGTAAATGGTTCACCAAAATCCCTATATACATCCTTCGCTTTTCATGAAATTTGGCATAGCGTACTGAATTGAGTCTAGAATGATGTGTATAAAATTCCTTGAAAATCGATTCAGATTAGAATATAGCTCCCGATATAATGAAAATGGTATACCAAAGACCCTATATATCTTTCGATTTGCACGAAATTTGGCATAGCATACTGGATTGAGTCTAGAATAATGTGTGTAAAATTTCTTGAAAATCGGTTCAGATTAGTATATAGCTCCCGATATAATGTAAATGGTATACCAAAGACCCTATATATCTTTCGATTTGCACGAAATTTGGCATAGCATACTGGATTGAGTCTAGAATGATGTGTGAAAAATTTCTTGAAAATCGGTTCAGATTTAAATATAGATCTCATATATATTTTAAGTAGGACCCAAAATATGGTCATTAGGAATAAAAGCTGCTGAAATTAGTGTAACCTAACCTGTGACAAGTTTTGTTGAAATCGGTTCATATTTGGATATAGCTTCCATATCTATTTTCATCCGATTTTAAGTAAATGGTGAAATTTTGCACAACGTACAAAATTGAGCATTTTTATATTTTTGATATTTGCTTTAAATCGATTTACATAATTTTGTCCCATTGTAACAAACAAATGACATGTTTACGGATTGATCTAAGTCGGTTCACATTTAGATAAAGATCGAAATGGTTTGATCTATGGATTGATCTAAGTCGGTTCACATTTAGATAAAGATCACATAGTTTAGTTAATGGCCCTTCTGTTAGGATACATTCGTTTAATATACCCATAGTGGTGAAGGGTAACATATAGTCGGCTCAGTCCGACTTCACTATTTTCTTACTGGTTTTGCAATGTAAATGTCAACGTATATAAACAAATATCAGCTGACTGATACCTTTGTATAATTTTAAAAATTGTCTTTAGTTCCTACTAGAATTTATGTCCTCGTTTTTATAAATCGAGACGATTTAGAATGCATAGCCTAAGCGAGCTTAAAAAATCCCTATAAAGGCGTGTTTACACCATAACTTTTATAGTGATAATCTCGATTTAATCGATAAATGATGCAGAATTTACCTCGATTTTTCATTTTAGTTTGTTCGAAATCCTATGCTAAGTCGAAATAATACCTCAGAGTATGCATCGCTTCTACCATACATTCTTGAGCTATTCCTATTAGAATTATGAAAATATTTATTGAAAAAATTGTCACAGCAATTATCAAACCAAGTGTTGCCATTTTTATACCGTTCATCACACAGTGGTATTATGTCTTTGTGCATATGTTTGTTACATGCAAAATGAAACGAGATAGACCCATGGTTCCGTCTGTCCGCCCATGTATTCTTGTGTACAAAGCACGGGTCACATTATTGATACGAATTTGTTGAAATTTGACAAAGATCTTATTGGTCCCAAAGACGAACCCTATTAAAATTGGTGAGAATCGATTCATAGATATAGCTCCCATATATATTTTCGTCCGATTTTACCCACTAAAAACCCAAAGTTTAACCAAAAGTTAGTATAACCTAACCTCTGGCAAGTTTTGTTAAAACCTGTTCAGATTTAGATATAGTTCCATATACACTGGTGGCCAAAACATAATCAACTAAAATTAAATTATTAAAATTAACTTTTAAAAATAAACTTATAGTGAAAGGTTTTTCAGAAATTAATAGGTAATTTATTAACTTAAAAGAAAAACATAAAACTTGTTTTGAAATAACAAATAATCACGGATAATAAACTATTTGCTTTTTTTATTTTAATTAAGTAAATTTACCTTGTAATCGTAACCATTATTTTTTATTACTGCGGCAAAACTACAAGGAATTGTATCTATAAGACGCTCAATTTGATCCATGGATATACTATTCCTATCATCCTGAACCTTTGGGTAGAGATTAAGTTTGTTTGCTCCTGAATCTGTTTCCATTTTGCTATCTATGATAATTCACAGATTTTTGCATAGGGTGAAGATCCGATAATTGTGTTGGCCATTATTAAATCCCGATTTTTGACTCCTGCAACCAATTTTTGATATGTTGCGGTGTATGTTTGAGGCTATTGTCAAGTTGAAACACCCAGATAAGTGGTAAATTCACATCAGAACTAAAACGTTTTTTCAACACATTTGTACATATAATCAATCCGATCCATTGCTTCATAAATCTCGTAAATAGATTGAATTCCATAAAAAGGAAAATAACTCGATGCAATTATTTAACCACCTCCATGGTGCCCAGTACCCTTGCAATACTGAGGCTTCAGCTTTTAATTTTTTTACCTTTTAACGATATTGAGGACATAATATTTATCCACTGAGTTAGATTTCAATGAATCGATTCGAATCGATTTGTATACCCTTCACCACACTGTGGTACAGGGTATTATGTCTTTGTGCATATGTTTGTAACAGGCAAAATGAAACGGGATATACACATGGTTCCTTTTGAGAATATGCATAGAATCACTTTCTAAGTCGATTTATGCATGTCCGTCCGTCTGTTGATGTTAAATTGTAAACAAAGTACAGGTCGCATTTATAATCCGATTAGGATGAAATTTGGTACAGCTTACTTATTTGGCACCAGGACGAACCCAATTAAAATTGAAGAAAATCGGTTGAGATTTAGATATAGCTCCCGTATATAGTTTCACCCGATTTAAGGTTAATTGGGCACCAAAGTCCCTATATATAATTCGATTTGCACGAAATTTGGCATAGCGTACTGAATTGAGTCTAGAGCGATGTGTGTTAAATTTCGTGAAAATCGGTTTAGATTTAGATATAGCTCCCATATATATTTTCGTCCGATTGTATGTAAATGATGCACCAAAGTCCTTATATATCCTTCGATTTGCACGAAATTTGTCATAGCGTACTGAATTAAATGTAGAACTATGTGCGTTAGTTTTCGTGAAAATCGGTTCAGATATAGATATAGCTCCCATATATATTTTCGTCCGATTTTATGTAAATGGTGCACCAAAGTCCCTATATTTGCACGATTCGCACGAAATTTGGCATAGCGTACTGAATTAAATATAGAACGATGTGCGTTAAATTTCGTGAAAATCGGTTCAGATTTAGATATAGCTCCCATATATATTTTCGTCCGATTTTAGGTAAATGATGCACCAAAGTCCCTATATATCCTTCGATTTGCACGAAATTTGGCATAGCGTACTGAATTAAGCCTAGAACGAAGAGTGCTAAATTTTGTGAAAATCGGTTGAAATGAGATATAGCTCCACATATATATTTTTCGTCCGGTTTTATATAAATGGTGCACCAAAGACCTTATATAACTTTCGATTTGCACGAAATTTTTTTGCATAGTGTGCTGAATTGACTCTACAATGAAGTGTGTCAAGTTTCAAGAAAATCGGGTAAGATTTAGATATAGCTCCCATATATATTTTCGTCCAATTTCATGTAAATTGTGCACTAAATAGCCATAGCTAGGCCGATTGACACAACATACTGAAATTAATATAAATTAATCTCTGCAAGTTCCCTTTAAATCGGTTCAGATTTAGATATAGCATAGCTTACATATAATTTCGACCTTGTACACCAAATAATCAATGAGTGTCTTTGCAGTATACCGAATAGCGTGTGTCAAGTTTGCTTTAAATCGGTTTACAAAATTTAGCATATGTTGCAGAATGACATGTGTAGGGATTAATGTTAGTCGGTTCAGATATAGATAAAGATCACATATTTAAGTTCGTTCAATTTCATGTCAATTTTCCTTCGAAAAATCGACGTCTTTTAGGATACATATGTTGAATATACCCAAAGTGGTGAAGGGTATCATATAGTCGGCCCATAATGAATTTTGCAATAATACGTTTACATTTAACCGGATTTCTTTAACCCCGTGGGTTTCAATTGTCAATTCCTTTGCATAAATATCAAATAAATCCTCATAGAGTAGGTTAACCCGGTAAAAAGTTCTAATGTATATGCCGTTTAATGCTTTTGTTTAGTTTTTAGTGAATAATGTACCCGATTTAAAACAGGAAAAAACAACAAGATATCATTATTATTGAAGTTGAGTTCAATTAGTCCATACCAATTAGCCTTCAGATGGAAATATGAAAGCAATAATTGACCGAAACTTCTTTAAGAACACTTTTGATGCTTCAGAAATAAAAGTTTGTAAAAGATACCCTATTAATTGCACTTTATCATTTTTAATTTCAGCACAAACGTTGTTCGGGTAATTATATCGGTTTGAAACCCCATCCAGATGAGCGTCAATACTATTACGTTTGTAAGCCGGATGCTGTGATATTTGGAAGATGTCAAAGATTTCAGGTAAGTGGTTATATATAATGTGTGTATATCAGATGTTCGATTTGACATAAACTTAAGCCATAGGCGAAAATCAATAGTTCTTAATTCTATTTTAAATTTCATATTTAAAAATGTGGCGCCCAATTGTAATAATTTAGAGGTATTTTTATACCCTGCATAGAATCACTTTCTGAGTCGATTTATGCATGTCCGTCCGTCCGTCTGTGGATGTTAAGTTGGAAACAAAGTACAGGTCGCATCACACAGCTTACAGCTTATTTATTTGGCCCAAGGAAGAACCCTATTGAAATTGGGAAAAATCGGTTAAGATTTAGATATAGCTCCGATATATATTTTTGTCCGATTTACGGACTTTAGTCCCTGCAAATCATTCGATTTGCACGAAATTTTGCATAGCCTACTGAATTAAGTCAAGAATGATGTGTGCTAAGTTTCGTGAAAATCGGTTCAGATTTAGATATAGCCCCCATATATAGTTTCGCCCGATTTTTTGGTAAATGGTGAACCAAAGTCCCTCAAAATCTTTCGATTTACACGAATTTTGGCATAGCGTACTGAATTTAGTCTAGAATGATGTGTGCTAAGTTTCGTGAAAATCGGTTCAGATTCAGATATAGCTCTTATATATAGTTTCGCCCGATTTTTGGTAAATGGTGCACCAAAGTCCCTGAGAATCTTTCAATTTGCACAAATTTTGGCATAGCGAACTGAATTAGGTCTAGAATGATGTGTGCTAAGTTTTGTAAAAATCTGTTCAGATTCAGATATAGCTCCTATATATAGTTTCGCCCGATTTTATGTAAATAGTGTACCAAAGTCCGCATATATCTTTGGATTTTGGGATAAGGTGCTGAATTAAATCTAGAATGATGTGTGCAAAGTTTCGTGAAAATCGGTTCAGATTTACATACACCTCTATATATATTCCCGTCCGATTTTAAGTAAATGGTGCACTAAAGATCCATAGCTAGGCCGATTGAAACAACGTACTGAAGTTAATACAGTATTTTTCGGTTAATTGAACCTACGGTTAATTGGTTTCCACGCTTAATTGAACCACATGATGGGTCAAAAATATTTCATTTCAAAGTAAGCGGGTTCGGATAATTGGTTCCTCGGTTAATTGAACAAAAATTTGTGCAAATTTTGATGTGCAATTAACCGAAAAATACTGTATAAATGAATCTCTGATAAGTTTCCTTGAAATCAGTTCTGATGTAGATAGATATGTTGAATATACCCAAAGTATTTAAACATAGCCACCATAAAATGCTCCGGCCCAGTCCGACTTTACTACTTTCCTTACTGGTTTAAAATGTGTTGGCCCAAACATTTCGTTGCATGTCTATCATTTGACATATCTCCCATATAAAGAGGGACAAGCTTCATTTTTTCGTGTTTGATTTTTCATTTTCCCACATAAACAACATAATAGCACCCTATTTTCAGTGAAATAATTACCATATGAAGTACCCACCCTGTTTGAGAAATAAAAATATTTTACAGGCCTACTAGCTTCTTTAAAAATTGTCGATCTTATAATTTATAAAGTGGGTCTGAAAGGTTTAAACCTATTAAATATCGCCATTTCAAATTCCTTCGCCTTTCAGCAATTCAATACCACATGCGGTCAATGCGTTCAGATCAAACCCACCGAATATGAACCAAAATGTACGGCCGAGGGACGTTTCCCCATACATTCCGATTGTCATCTCTATTATAAATGTGATAAAACATTGCAGCCACAAATCTACTCCTGTCCACACAATATGATATTCTCGCAGCAGACAAGTAAATGTATACCCGGCAATAGATGTATACCCACCCAGATTATTACCGATAATGATAGTGTACCAGAATATTGTGAAAATAAATATCCAGCATGTCAACAAAATGGTGTATTCCGATCACCATCGGATTGTTCGCTTTACTATACATGTGAACTGCAAGAGAATCGTGTATTTTATCAAACGAGATTTAAGTGAGTATTCGGAAATAAAGAGAGATGGAGAGATAAGATGATACAATTTTGATTCCATATATCTTTTTCAGATGCCCCGGGGAAACCTTCTATGACTTACAGACAAATTGCTGTCGCCCCAAGGACCAAGTGCCATGCGATTGTATAACTCTGGCCGAATTAGTTTATCCCACAAGTCACCTCCGACCATATCATCCCTTTCAACAACATCCCATGATTCATCCAAGTGAATTTGATTTGGATTCCCTTGAAAATATTGAACATGCAACTGAGTCATCTTCAGAGGAGGAGTTGGAAGAACCAAGACAAACAGAATTCGAAGATTCCGAATCCAATTCATTGGAGGAAGAAGTTATTGAGAACACAGATGATTCTGAGGAAAGTGTAAAGAATGCAGCAGATGCAGCCGTGACACCCATCCGCGATGTTACAACTGAATCTTCAGCCGAAATGTCTGTAGAGTCTCTTGCAGATGTGGCTGCTGCTACTTCGACAGTTGTTCCGGCAATAACAACAGAAATAGCTACCGAAGCACCAGAAGAAACTACGGTACCTACAGAAGCTGTTCCAGAGGCAACTACAGAGGTTGTTGTCTCAACTGAAGTCCCAGAGGCTAATACAGAAGAACCTGCCACAACAGATGATGATGAGAATGATAAAATTGAAGTTCTGGGTAGTGATGTTGATTTTGGTGATCGCTTCGTTTTACAAGATGACAAAACCTGGAATAATGGTAAGATATCTTATCGGATATAATAATGAAATTCGAACAACCATGAGGTTTTCTTCGGAAGATGCAAAATTCTTCCATTCTCCTGGCTTTATTTGAAGGTGGTTGTATATTTACATTTTCATAAAAATACCATTTAAAATCATTTAATTTTTACAAATGTAAGGCTCTTCGAGAGGGATGAGCGACAGGAAGGGAGACCGCCAGCTATGTAAGGGTCCAATGTTTTTTGAATTCATGTGATAACCAAATGAGACTAGTATCGTATTCCCCTTTGACATGGAACTACGCCGATAGTTTTATATTTCAATATAAAACCGTTTAATTCAATGAACTAGTTCAGATAAACTTGTTCATTTAGTTCAATATGTGAACATTATCTATTCAACAGGGAAAATATCAGTTCATAGGATATTGGACTGAGGTGATAACAAAATATAGTCTCATTGTTCCTTTAGTTAGGTTAGGTTGAAAAGGGGGTGGATAATACCACATGTCCAACAAAGCAAGGACAAACTCATAAGTCAGTTGAGGCCTATTGTGAGCTCAAAAAATGCAGAGAAAGTTAGAATTAGCGGAAGTTTAGATTAAACATTATGGGTTTTATCCCTCTATGAATTCTGTATTTTTTGAGAACTCCTTCAGTCTTCTCCATTCACATCCCCAGATGGGTTAGTCCGTCAATAGTGTCATTTCCCACATGCCTTACATGCCCACAGGCTCTGCGCCTGCTGCTACCTTCGATCCAATCTTGATTAGATGTGCCTTCAGTCTAAGGTGTCTCGTATTAATACCCTCAATCGGCTTGTTTCGGTAGCTTTTTCTTCGATAAAAAGTCGCAGTCCAGTTTTTGCTCCTAGTTGAGAGTCATCTGTGTAACAAAATTTACCATCAATAAAAAGTCCCAGTCCAGTTTTTGCTCCCAGTTGAGTGCCATCTGTGTAACAAAAGTTACCATCAGGCATCTGAACTAGTGTTCCGCTATTCCATTGTTCTCTATCTGGTATTATAGTTTCATAGTCTTAAAGCTGTGAAAATAACTTTAAATATCGATCGATTTTCAAACGAACTATGGCAATTTAAGGATTCACTAAAGGGATCAAGTGAACTAGTTTAATTGAAGTTGAGTTCTATTCAAATAGATCGACAAAGTTTTGGTGCCATTGGACGTTAAAAACCACTTCTTTACGTATCTAAAAACTTGTTTAAATAATGTTCCGAATTTTAAACCTTCACCATAATATGATGGCTATATTAAGTTGGTGTTTCCGTATATCGATAGGGAAATGTAAAGTTGAGTCGTTTCAAAAGGAACTAGTTGAAAATACTTCTTGCGCAAAAGGAACGCTCGGTACTAGTTCCAATTTTTTAATTTATCTAGTTTCGTATGTTGCTGTCGTTCAATTTGACCCAATCGTCCATCTAGATCTTTCCGGTCATTGTCGAATTAACAGACGTGTACCAATGAACTATGGAACTAAACGAATGGCAGAAGTGATTATCAAACTTTAAACCGGTTTAAACCGTAGCGGACACGATAAATCAAAAACTAATTATCCAATCCGTGTATTTTCAGCTTTGTATGCTCCCAAGAATTTTAGTTTGTGAATTTGTAAACATGATTCAGGCCGCAGTCACGACATTTTGCGTGTAGGATGGGTTCTGGCCAAAGAAGACCCCTATGGTTTTTATATGTCTCGGTTCTTCGGGTCGCCGTCTAGAGGCCACAATAATGACCCGAACACCATGAAGGGAATCTGGCAAAAGAACAAGCATGACTTTTTAATGAACTCGGTCAATATTTAGCGGGCGAAGACTTTTGTGTTTGAAATATTACAACATTTGTATTCTGGAGCGTATATATTTACTCCCGAAGAACATAGACCCGAGAAATTGATATTATATCCCAGAGTATCGGTTGTGGGAGTTATACATAAAGATATAATGGTGCTTTGTGTTATTATATTGTTTTGTATTACTTCTACCCCACTAGATGGCGGAATTGTCGGGCTGATCGCTTTGAAATTTTACATGATATTGTCATGATATTTAGGTGATGTTGAGTTCAGATGATATTTATGGGGTGCAATGAACGGATTATTTTTTTCAGATTTTCTAATCGTTCTATAGGTTATTATATGTGAAGAGTATCTGGTCAATTACCTAGAACGGCTGCTTAAACGATAATCGGTCAATATTCCGAGGGTCATATCAACCAAAACCTAAAGGACCAAATTTTTATTTTATAGCGTAAATATTCTCCTCGGGAAAAACAAGATTTGGAAAATATGCCAAGGTTAGAAAGTAGAGCTGTTGACCTAAAATCGGTCAAGAGTGTGTATAAAGCACGCAGAAAGTTAAATTTTCGTGGTATTTGTGTACAGTATCATATGGTCGGTCCTGTTCGAATATAGTGCTCCACTCACTGGTTTTCTTACTCTGTTTGTGGTTGAAAATTAAATTTCATATGCCCGCCATTTCTTTTAATTTTTGTGCGATGTTAATAATCCTAGCTCGTACCAGAGCCAAACATGTACTTTTCGAATGCCGTTGGAATTTTTGGAATCGGAAGTTCTTGTATCGGAAATTATGCCGGCCGTCGAAAGGAAGGACTGTTCGTTAATTACAAAACAACAATAACAAAATTATGTCATTTTTCAAATTTTTATATACAAAGATATTTTTTTTAATTTTTGGCATATAGAGGATTTTATAGATTTTACGATGTTTAGGTTAGGTTAAAAAGAGGGGTGATTTACACCACCACATATCCAATAACAAGATATCCATTTAAGCCAGTAAAAAGCCTGTTGTGCGCATAACAAACGAAAGAGAGTTTGGAAGAAAATCATCACAATATAATTAGGAAATCGATGTTTTGAAGTCCTTTAGACTTTTCTATACATGTCGGTTAATTCGTGGATAGTGTCATTTCCCAAGATTTTTGTACGAAGTCCTTCAAAGGCTTCAAAGGAAATGTTTCAGCATTTCGCTATCTTCCCCACACGCTCTATACCTGCTGCTTCCCTCGCACTCAATCTTGTGTAAATGTGCCAGCAGGCTGATATGCCTTGGGAAAAAATGGGTATAATTTCCTAATACTGGTGACCGTAGTATTAAACAATATCCTTGGAATATATTATCGGTATAGAACATTTTGTAATATATCTCCTCACGATATTTTCGTTTTTACAGATTTTCCAATAATTATCGACAATTTTAAGATTTAATTAATTGGTCGCCATTAATTGTCCATATGAAACACTTTCGTCCGAAGTTCTCTGCGAAAAGAGATGTTCCACAAAATTGTACTGAAAACTACAAAATAGGCAAAACTTTTTATGTGTTTCAAGAATCCAGACTAAAATAGTATTTCTTCCCTTTTAATCACGAGTGTTCAAATATCCACATTGGGCGCCATTCTGGCATCCCGCAAAATGTAAAACTGCATTTCGATGACTTCTAAAAGAAAACACAAATCCACATACAACAATTCCGATTTCTAGCCAGCTAATCGGACAATACCGATACTAGTATATTTAATATTATATTTAATAATGGGTTATCAAACACACCTATTATTAATGACTTATTAATTAATTCGAAACTAATGACTTCCATTAAAGTATTGAGAAAAATCGAATTAGCAATAAATAAGCTGATCGAATCGAAAAAGTCAACGACATGAATTAGTTCACATTATTGAGAGTTCACTGTTTTGGAAGTTCACATTATCGAGAGTTCACTATATTGATTTTTCTTAACTCCTTTGTAACTTATTAGGAAAACTTTTTTAAATGCCTTACGTTATATTATAAATTTTCTCATATGTTCTTCAGATGGCCCTGGAAAAACAATATTTCTGGGAATAAAATCACCATCAGATTCAGATTCTGACGAACATGACAAACATCATGATCACCACCATGATCACTCGCATCATGGCTCACATGAAAACACAAGTGAATCCAGCCACGAAGCAAATAATTCACACATTGAAACCGATGAAGAGAAAGATGAAAATAAAACCGATGAACATGGTTCCGAAGAAGCTAGTCATGGATCTGGAGAAAACAGTCATGGAGCGGGAGAAGACAGTCATGGATCTGGAGAAAACAATCATGAATCGGGAGAAAATAATCACGGATCTGGAGAAAATAATCATGGAACTGGAGAAAACAGTCAGGGGTCAGGTGAAGGCAATCATGGATCTGGAGAAAACGGTCATGGTTCCGGAGAAGGTAGTCACGGTTCTGGAGAAAATGGCCATGGATCGGAAGAAAATGGTCATAAATCCGAAGAAGGCAGTCATGATTCGTCAGAAGGCAACAATGAAGAAGAAAATGAAACAACTGAACCCCCTGTTTCGCAATCAACTGATGCAACTACAACTACAGATATTGATAGCGCCACAAATGCCCCGGAAAGCTCTGAAAATGGACAGAAACCATGTAATGATATTGCAACAGGTAAGTGGAAATATAAATTTTAAATTAAAAGGCGCTTGAGAAAAAGTATATATCGAAGAAAATATCGAATATTTACTACGACTTTCGCCAGTTTTTTATACCGTACACAACAATGTTGTTGTATAGCTTTGTGAAGGCCCAAGAGTTTGTTTAATTGTTTAACCGATCGTCATATCTCGACTAGCTGAGTCGATACAGACATATGTGTCCGCCCTCCCGTCCGTCAATCCATTATAATTTGTAAACGCGATACAGGCCACAGTTATGGACCATCGACACGAAATTTTTCATGTAGCACGGGTTCTGGTGAAAAAATACCCCTATTGTTTTTGGTAATGATCCGTTAATATAATAACCTGTTTTTCTGAATGCACTAGATGCCGCAATTATGACCCGAGCACCATGAAATTTTACATCAGGAAGGGAATCTGGCCAAAGAATAAGCATGACTGTTTTAGCGGATCAAATGGAACCAAACTTTTGTGTTTAAAATGACGAAATTGGTATTTTAGGGCGTATATATTTACTCCAGAAGAACTGAGACCCAAGAAGTTAATAGTATCTCCAAGAGGAGTGGTTGACCTTTAATACCCATTATATTGTTTACAGGAGTCCTTGAATTATGATATGGTTTAGTATTACAATTAATCCACTAGAGGGCGCTAACGTTGCTTTAAAATTGTACATGATGTTCGGTTTGTGGTCAAGGACGACGCCAATAATTTCCGCTTATGTTGAAATGATATTTAGGGGGTGAAATGAACCGAAAACTTTTTTTTGTCAGATTTTCTAGTCACTCTAGAGGCCATTATTATATGCAGAACATCACATATTTTGCGCGGTGAAAGGGGATCTGACCAAATACTTTGAACGATGATGATCGGTCAATATTCCGTGGGTCAAATCAACCAAAACCTAAAGTGACAAAATTTTTATTTTATGGCGTAAATATTCACATCAGGAAAACAAGATTTGGAAAATATGCCAGGGTTAGAAAGTGCAACTGTTGACCTATAATCGGTAAAGAGGGTGCAAATATCGCGAAATATTGCCCAGGCTCAGAATATATACGCTCCGCTCACTGGTTTTTAATTTAATTGATTCACACTAAGTTGTCTGCAAAAAGAGATGTTCCCTCGAGACACACAATCTTTTGAGAAATTGGAGCTATTTTCACCATTATTCATCATCTTTTATGTACAGCCATAAGCCATATTGCTTAATTGGGCGCCATCGTCATAATATTAAATTCGAGAAAATTGAACTTGGAAGTGTAAATGCACCCGAGAAAAAGTTCGCTACTGCATTGCTTAATTGGGCGCCATCGTCATAATGTTAAATTCGAGAAAATTGAACTTGGAAGTGTAAATGTATCCGAAAAGAAGTTATCTAATGCATTGCTTAATTGGGCTCGATAATATTAAAAGATTGAACATAGAGGTGTAAATGCACCCGAGAAGAAGTTCGCTACTGCATTGCTTAATTGGGCGCCATCGTGTTAATGTTAGATCCGAGAAAAATTAAGCTTGGAAGTGTAAATGCACCCGAGAAAAAGTTCACTACTGCATTGCTTAATTGAACGCCATCGTCATAATGTTAGATTCGCGAAAGTTTGGGCTTGGGTGTGAAAATGTACCCGAGAAGAAGTTTGCTACTTGGGCGCCATAATATTAGAAAGATTGAACATAGAGGTGTAAATGCACCCGAGAAAAAGATCGCTACTGCAGTGCTTAGTTGAGCGCCATCGTCATAATGTTAGATTCGAGGAGGATTTAGCTTGGATGTGAAAATGCACCCGAGAAAAAGTTCGCTGCTGCATCGCCTAATTGGGCCCCATTGTGATAATGTTACTTATACACATATTCTGATAACACATTCAATAGCAGAGAAATAACAGAACATTAAATGGTTTCAAGTCGCTTCTTTACTTTTCGAACCATTTCGGCTGATGTTGCCGTTTTCTTCCGTCCATTTCCTTGACGTCGGGCTACGCTACCAGTATCACGGTAACGAGCGGTGGTACGAGACACAAAAGATTTATTTACATTTAAATGCTGCCACTTGTGGTTTTCCAGCCAATTTCTAATAATATAATTCCTCTATAGTTTTCACATATCACCTTGTCTCTCTTTTCGTGCACGGAACACAGGATACTGAGGTTCCAATCAGTGGACATGTATTCATCTAGCCAAATTGTACTAATCGGTTGGAGCATGCTCCTGACCAGCGTCTGAGTACCGCTCTTGAATAGTACGGCTAGCAATCCATCGGCATCTGCAGCTTTATTTTTCTTCAGCCGATTGATTGATATTCTGACCTCATTTTGGCTATGTGGTATACACCCTATACCGTCATGTCTTCTTCACCGTTACTATTTGATACCAGAAGCTTTTCAAAATGCTCCTTCCATATCCTCAACACGCTATATGTTTGTGTCACCCGTTTCCATATTCATCTCTACAGGAGGATGTGCCTGCACCAAAGCTTTCGGTTTGATGTTTTACACGTTGGTAAAATTTGCGGACTTCCAGACTGACTGCTATACATTTCGATTTGCTCTCGCCCACGTTTTTCTTGTTTCTTCTTTTTTCTGAAAATACCTTTCTTCTCTCTCCCTTTCTCATGATAATTCTCTCTCGCATTGCGTGTTGCTACTGTTTGCAGGGTTGCCCTATACGCTGCGTTTTTCGCCTCATTAGCATTACGACACTCCTGATCGTACTATGGGTTTCTTGATGGTGGTCTTTGGTACCCAAGTGTTGCGTTTGCTGCAATTTGTATGGAGTGGGCAATTCTTTGTCATTGTGCTCTTATATTATTATCGGGACGAGGAGGGCTTTCGTCGAGCAGGTGGGTAAGTTGAGCGGTGTAGGTTTCTGCTACGTCTAGTTTCCGTGTTACATTAGATCGCACCTTTGCTGCTACATTAAGATGGGTGTGAACCTTGGCTGCCAGAATGTAATAGTCCGAATCGATATTCTCGTATTGATCGAACGTCTGAAGCACTGGGTTGATTCCTTCCGTCTATCACAACATGATCAATTTGATTTCACGTAGTTTGTTCATGAGAAGTCCAGGAGGCCTTGTATATATCGAGATGCTTGAATCTGGTGCTGCTAACTGCCAGGTTTTTTGCTGTCGCGAAACATCCGTTGTCGGATGTTTCTTCATGAAGGCTGAATATTCCGACGGTGGGGCCAAAAATATTTTCCCTTCCGATTTTTTGCATAAACATTTCATAGCAGATTTATAATGTCATGGCCAGGACAGCGGTCATATGCCGTTTCTAGGCACTCAATTAAGATATTTTTTAGAGAAGTTTGTATGTATCTAATATATTTCCTTTAAGCTATATATTTTTCTTATAACAACAAATATAAAGAAAACTTTAAAACATTTCACTTGATACTTCACAGATACACAAACGAAATTACACACCCAAAAACACTGTTCCACTGCAACACAACAGAATAGTCGAACAGCGACACTTGTTGATAAAACCACAAACGATGTTATCGTGAATGCCAGAGAACTCTCCACACTACATCCCAACACAACACCAACAACACATCGTGATCCAACGATTAATGATGTTATCGATCCGAGATTACACCATGCTAATCAAACACCCAGTACCACAAGCACACGAAACACAACTCCAACACCAAAGAAGTCTTTCGAAATAACCACAGGCGACAATTTTACACAAAAACCCAAAACAACTCCCAGATTTTTCGATCCAACCACAAATGATGTTATTGACATCGATACACAAAAAACTAGTACATGGAGCACTCCAACAACACTCCACCTTACCGATAAAACCACAAACGATGTAATATCGACGGAAAACATCGTTTCTACACAAAGAACCATAACTACACCTTCAGATCGTGATTCCACCATCAAAGGTGTAATTGATCAGTTTGATTCGTTTTTACATCACAGTAAAACCGCTTTTACACCAAGTACCTTACAATCGGATAACACTACACCCATGTCGACTTCTACACATCGCGATCCAACCATCGGTGATGTTCGTAATGATGAATCGAGTACATTAAGTACTCCTGTTCATAAAACCACAAAAGATTGGTTACAAGAATTTGAATTAGTGTTTGGGGCAAAACAAGGTCCAAAAACACCTACACCAATAGAAGGTGAATTCCTACCATTAGATAAATCAGAAGACCTCTTAAAACACTCCAAAGAGCATAAGGATTCTATAACTGAAGAACCAACGGCCGTAACTTCCTCTAAAACTGATTTCAAATCGGTTGCATCCGCAACAGAATCTGAGGGTATCAAATTGCCAATTGGTGGCACAGAACAGCCGGTGACCAAAAGTTTTATTCAAGGGGGCCACGATGATCTCTTTGATGATGACGAAGATGAGGAACCTTCTGTCCTATCCGATGAAATTGTAATACCTGATAGTGGCACTGAAGAACCTGAAACCGCTGCCACACCTGCAAGACCAAGTGTTTCCGAAGAACAAGTTTCCAAACATGAGGATAAGGGTTTGATACCTGAATGTATAAAAGTATCGAATAGTGGCACTGATGTCCCGAATCTCAATGAAGTCACGTCTGAACTGTCTTCCGCAAAATTCTCTCATCCAGACCATGATGATATTTTCGATGATGATAATGCTGATGACGAACCCTCAGTTCTCTCCGACGAAATTGTAATACCCGATAGTGGCACGGAAGCTCCAACATCACATAATATTCCTTCCGCAACAGATAAACCGAAATTGGCTATTCCAAAATTACATACAGATCCTTTGACAAATGCTATACAAATTCCAATCACTGGCACCGAGGAACCGATCTTCCATAACTCAGATAGTTTCACAACAATTGACCCAGATTTAGTTACTTCGCAAAAACCACCTTCTGCCAGGTTGTTCGATCAAGATCATGATGACGTTTTCGGGGATGATGAGCCTTCGGTGCTGTCAGATGAAATAATAATACCAGATAGCGGAACAGAAGATCCGGAATCTAATGAGAAGCTTCATACAACTGTCAGGCCAAAATCAAGCATTCCCGGTCATTTTAGTTTCACACATAAAACGACCCATACTTCGGTTAGATCAGATGCTATAAAACTACCAATTACTGGTACCGAAGAACCGAACTTCAATGATTCTGATCGGGAATCCATAATCACTTCCCCAAAATCTATTGCAGCTGAAAGACATCCCTCACCGAAATTAATCGATCCCGGCCATAACGAGGATATATTTGATGACGATGAACCTTCGGTATTATCAGATGAAATTGTCATACCAGATAGTGGTACAGAAGACCCTAATTCAAGTAAAACTCTTCAGACAACAGCCAAACCTAAGACAAAGGAACATACGACCCCGAAACAGAATAGTACGAAGCATGAAGATGATGAAAAATCCAATTTGTCAGACGTTATAAAAATTCCCCTGAGTGGTACTGAGGAACCCAGCTTCACTGATGCGGATAGTTTTACTACGACACCTGGACCTGAAGTAGTTTTTCCTAAGAAACTTCCTTCGGCAAAATTATTCGATCCCGAACATGATGATATATTCGAGGACGATGAACCTGTGGTGCTTTCCGAAGAAATAATTATACCAGATAGTGGCACCGAGGAACCTGTTGCTAATGAAACCACTACACCAACAAAATCCGTAACATCTAATCAAACTATATCCTCTGGGACAAAGGATATACAAATCCCCAATGGTGGCACTGAGGATCCGACCGTCATTAATTTCGAAGGTGGTGCAACAACATTCGAACCTGAATTATTTAAACCTATGAAACTTCTTTCACCAAAATTGATTGACCCACAGCACGATGACATCTTCGATGATGATGATGATGAGGATCCCTCAGTCCTATCAGACGAAATTATTATACCAGATAGTGGCACCGAAGAGCCTTTAACTGTCACAACTTCTAGACCCAAATCAGCAGGTTCAATTGAACAGCATTCTCATGAAGATAGCGATACTACTGTCCTGCCGTCCGATATAAAAATACCGATTAGTGGAACCGAGCAGCCATCCTTTAATGATTTTGATGGTTCGGCTACAACATCGGCACCTGGACCAACTCTAAATAAAAAAATACCTTCTGCAAAACTAATTGATCCCGATCATGATGATATATTTGATGACGATGATGATGAACCCTCTGTTCTATCCGATGAAATAATAATACCGGATAGCGGCACAGAGCAGCCTAGTTCTAAAGAAATCCTTTCACCAAGTCATCGTAATGATGATATAAAACTTCCGATTAGTGGAACTGAAGAACCGGACTTCAATGAATCTGTTGGCGCCACTACGCCTACCGACCCTGATTTAGTTAATCCTAAGAAACATCCTGTTCCAAAGTTATTGGACCCTGATCATGATGATATCTTTGATGACGACGAACCTTCTGTCCTCTCCGATGAAATAATAATACCAAATAGTGGAACCGAAGCACCAGATTCTGATGAAACAACTCTTAGACCAAAAACAAGCAACTCCAAAAAACCTCAGGAGGACGATGATACCTTTGTTGATTCGGACGACCTAAAAATTCCGGTATCTGGTACCGAGACACCAGATACCCTATTGACACCTGTTCCCATACGAAAATCACCTCCCAAGTTAATTGATCCCGATCATGAATCGGAATTTGAGAACGATTTTGAAGGTTCTGGATTTTCCGATGACATAAAAATACCAATTGGTGTTACGGAAGAACCCAATTTCAATCCATCTTCGTCGTTAGACCCAGATTATGACCTTGAAAATGATGATGCATCGGTTCTTTCAGATGATATTAACATTCCCCTTAGTGGAACAGAGGAGCCAGAATCAAAGGCTCATCCTACCACATTATTAGATCCTGATTATGAGCACGATGAAGAAGAAACTGATGACAATGAATCTGTATTTTCGAACATCAGTCATCTACCCTCCTTTTGGGGAACAGAGGACACCGTAGCTTTTACAACCATCTCCCCTCATGCCACAAACATTTTTGATCCCGATTATGTCTTCGACGATGAAAGTGATATAAAAATACCAATAAGTGGAACCGATGGACCAAACGAAACTACCACACCATCCAGCCACAGTTCTGAAGAGGAAGATGAAACAAACGTCTTATCAGATGAAATAGTCATACCCATACATACAACAGATACACCGCACACGACTTCAACACCATCACCTCCGACAACAACTCCTTCCTCGATAGAACCACCAATAACACATTCCAGATCCACCGAAGTTCAAACCACACCCACACCTACCCCCAAATATTTGGATACTAAACAAACGCAAACAAATAATAATCGTAGTGAATTTTCATTACACTTTAGACAGGAGGATGGTTGCCCCTCGGAATCCTTAGTCAAGCCATCCGAACAGAATAATATTTATATAAGTCTTTTAAATTTAGATACAAACAAACCAGTGAATAATACTAATTCTACAAATATTCCTACTACTACTAATCTTAATCAAACTGCAGTTAAGCCGCCGCCATGTGAACCGAAAAAGGCCAGTCTGCCACGTTTGGAGATATTCGTTGAGCGGCCAATGGATGTGCGTTTCGTCATCTGCCCCAAGACCTGTACAAAGGATCATAAACATAATTATGGTGAGTAAAAACAGTTTTACGTGTTACGCCCTTTTCAAAAAGCGCTCTTTATCGTTCGACTATTTCGATTGATCTTTTAATTTTACGTCAAATTAATCGCGTGGCTTCGATAAACATTCTTAATTAATTCACATTACTTTTTTTCCACCACTTTAAATTTTCATTTGCAGACGAAAAAGACAACCGTGCTGTCCACTTAAAATGGTATCCCAATCGATCCAATCAAACTTTGGCCCTTGAAACTTCGAATCGTTTGAAAATCGACGGATGAGTTGTTAAATTAGTCGTATTTTAATTCTAGTGATATTATTTTATTAAATTAAATGAAATCCTTAGTTTAAGTTAATGAATCTACAAAAAAATACATAGTAATTTAAATAATAAACAACTAAATATAGTTACTGCATAATTTGGAAGGTGGTTTTATTTTCAAAAAAAAAAATAATAATAATAATAAAATAGATGCGCAAAAATACAAATAAATATTCGAAAAAAAACTATAACTAAAATATATATGCGATATATATAAATTTGATACATTGAGTTCTTATTGGGTACTAAATGTCTCCACAAAAAATTAGAAATATAAGTCCACTTTTTCTGGTAGGTCCATATAACGGTACCTCCTAATTTTCAGTATTTGGAGGATCTTGGTCGTATTTTTTCATTGAATTGGTTGTAATTTAGTTTTTTGAGTTCTTAACAGATACCAAATCTCTCCACAAAAAGTTATAAATATAGGTCATTTTTTCGGATACCAGAGGAGAGTGGACCGACATTCTTCATGTTCGAACTTGAACTAACTTTGGAAGAAATAATAAGACGGCAAAGTTTGGGTGGAATCAAAATATTTTGTAACAAATTTGGTCCAAAGTAACATGGGGTCTAGGACCAATATTTAGAACCATAATCGGTTTGTAGAAATATCGGTATAGGTACACTTTTTGGTATATTTCCTATATTTTTATTTCGAGTACCTGTAATAATATATATATATATATATGGTGTAGGGAGGGTGGAGGGCCGAACTTAACGCTTTTCCACTTGTTGTTATTTTTATTATAATAAAATATTTGATATACTTTAGTTACTATAAATTACTTTTCTATCATTCACAAAATTTTCAGAACACACATCAGAGCTATATATAAAATATTGTCTTCCCAAATGTACGATTTAGTATCATCCATGTTATAATTTCGGGCCTTAACTGTTTGGCTGTTTAAGGATAATACAAGGTCGGATTGTAATATAAAATACTAAATAAACTCCTTATTTGATTGGCTTTAACAAAAGTTCGGTTTGCTACAAATTATTTTGTGGCATGGCTTGTTAGCATCTTGTGAAAGTCGCTCAAAAGGTATTGCCCTTTGCATATCCCATGACACGAAGTAATATTTTTCTGTATGAACTTTCCACAAAGGTAATTCATGTGCGACCTCTATATTTAGATTATAGAATTATGTCTCAAATAATCTGATAAATAAGTATAATCTTCAAATTGACTGAAAATATATTTAAAACATATATTTTAAAACCAATTCTCCCATATCTCCGCATCGAATAACATTTTTACCACGTAATTGCAAATTTTATGCAAAATATTGTATGATAACTATGTTCTGAATCCATCGTGTCCTTCCTATTTGGCCCTCAATAACTTATTTAATTTTATACATAACATATTGGACCATTCGCTTCTAACCATTTCTTGAATATGCCATATCTTTCATAAGGTGGTTACCAAAAAAGTTAAATAACTCTTAGAACCGTAGGTCTCCGCAGCTAATTTTTTTTTTATTCCTTAGAGGGACCCCCCCCCCCCATTCTCGGGGTCAAAAATTTTTTTGACTTAATTCGAATCTACACTAATTCAAGAATGTCCCTACAAAATTTCAAGTGAAAATCTAAAGAACTCTTGAAGATATAGCCGATTTATTGTGTCAGCATCAAATGACGGCTGAAGGGCTTCTCAAACTTTAAACGCGTTTTTCTCTTTTTTCCGAATGGCGGGCACGATAACTCAAAAACTAATAACCCAATCTATGAGTGTATAGCTATCGTATGAACTAGGATAAAGCCAATCGGTGAAGATCATCCTTATTTTTATACCCTACACAACTATGTTGTCAGGGTATTATAGCTTTGTGCAGCCCTAAATGTTTGTAACGCCGCGAAATATTGGTCCTAGACCCACCTTTAAGTATACCGATCGTCATATCTCGACTAGCTGAGTCGATCTAGACATGTGTGTCCGTCCGTCCGTCCGTCCGTCTGTCCATTATAATTTGTAAACACGATACAGGCCACAGTTATGGACCAATCTTCACGAAATTTTGCATGTAGGATGGGTTCTGGCCAATGAAGACCCCTATTGTTTTTGGAAAAGATCAGTTAATATTTAGGGGATGAAATGGACCAAATACTAAATTTTTGTCGGTTTTTCTGGTCGCTCCAGAGGCCGCAATTATGGCCCAAACACCGCGAATTTTTGCATGGAGAAGGGGATCGGGCCAGAGAATAAGCATGCATGTTTTGATAAAGATCGGTCAATATTTAGCGGGGCAAATGGACCCTGACTTTTGTGTGAAAAATGACAAAATTTGTAGTCTATGGCATATATATTTACTCCTGGAGAATGTAGACCCCAGGAGTTGATAGCATATCCAAGAGGAGTGGTTGGCCTTTAAATTGATACCAAATATAGTGATGTATCTACTCAGATGTGGGAGTTACAGTCAAATATTTACAGGTGCTTACGTATTCAGATATTATTTAGTAACCCATTACCACATTAGAGGGAGAAATATCGCGCTGATGGCTTTGAAATTTTTCACGAAGTTCCAGTTATGGTCAAGAACAACGCCTACAATTTTCGGTGATGATCAGATTAAAATTTTGGGATGAAATGGACCGAAAACATAATTTTTTGTGTGTTTTCAAGTAGAGTATAATCCGAAAATCACAACACAACCCACCGTGAAGGTAATCTGGACAAGTAATTAGAAGGACTGTACTGAATATTCGAAAAAAGTAAGGAGGAGGTGTTGTTAACCTCTAATCGGACAAGAGGGGGCAAATATCACGAAATATTACTCCGACTCGGAATAAACATCCTCAGAAACTTAGAGTTCGTGGTAGTTGTGTAGGGTATCGTATGGTCGGCCCCGTCCGACTATACTGCTCCGCTCACTGGTTTAATTTGGTTTTTGGTCAAAAATCGGCGATTTTCCAAAAATATTTTTTTCAGAGGTCCGCCATTTTATTAATTTTAGAGCGAAGTCAATAATCTTAGTTCATACGAGAGCCAGACATGTACTCTTTTCGGATTCCGATGTTCCAGTGAGGAGTTATCATGCCCGCCATCAAAAATACGGACTTCTCTTTAATTACAAAAAACAACAACAAAACAATAACAAAAATTTTTTGTAAATTATTTTTCTTCTCTTTTAAATCTTCAAATATATATGTGCAAAGTTACAAACCTTAACAAGCATTGGTATTGATTTACCAGCCCATTGAAAATCTTGAAAAATTAAAATCGAGAATGGGGGGGTTCCCTTAAAAGCGATGCTTAACGCCGTTTCAGCCTTCCTGCATAGTAAGTTAGAGTTCTTTCCCCTTAGAAGTATTATAACGTCGTCTGCATAACAGACTGGTTCAAAACCATCCTCGGTTAAGTTCCTTAAGAGACTACTGATAGTGGTGACCCACAGGAGTGGTGACAGTATCCCTCCCTGCGGTGTCCCTTGTCCTACTTTGTCCCTTAAAGTTATTTCTTGTAGGCTACAGTTTATCCATCTATTCCTTAGCATATGGTTGACCCAGTCTATAATTGCCTGGTCAACACTAAAGGCTTCTAAGGATTGGATAAGTGTTTCGGTGCTGACATTATTAAAGGCTCCTTCGATGTCAATACAGACTGCTATAGTGTACATTTTCTTATCGAAAGTTCCTTCAATGTGGTGTACTACCTCATGTAAAGCGGTTTCCACTGATCTCCCCTTTACGTACGCATGTTGTTTATATTTCAGCATGTCATTGGGGATGCTGCTCTTTAACATGGTGTCGATTGTCCGTTCCAAGGTTTTGAGTAAAAATGAAGTAAGGCTAATTGGCCGGTAGGCTTTTGGTGTTGCGTAGTTTGCCTTGCCGGGCTTGGGTATGAAGACTACCCTGGCTTCCTGCCAATGATCTATCTAAATCTCATGATTTATAATTCTTTTTTTAAATGGATTAGAATGCGACATTATTATATTTCTAATGTGTTTACCATGACATAATTATTAATGTAGGTCTCATTTACTAAAACGATGGTAACAACACCAGCAACTCTCTATTTGATAATTTTAAAATAAAATTTGGATTTGAACCCGTAAATATTTACGTACAACGAATGACATATTTGAACATATTGAAATAAATTATATTATTATATAATAATTTATTTCAACATGTATATAAAGGCTTATCCTATACAGTTTCTTTCTTTATATAAGCTTACTATCTGTCCCTTTCTAGATTTTCAATGACTAAATCTCGAAGCATTATGGTTAATGTTGTTTATTAACGATAAAAACTGTTTTTGTATAACGTGATAACTATAGGTATGAACACCTATAGCTAGCTTAACATATAAAGGCAATAAGTCCATATTTTACGGGAGAAACAAAAATAACCGAAATAAAATTCGCCTTTACTCATCACTACAAAACCAAAGCAACAAATGAGATAATTGTAGATTTTTTTATTAAATCGATGTATTTTTATACCCTCCACCAATGTATGGAGGGTATATTAATTATGTCATTCCTTTTGTAACTCATCGAAATATTCATTTCCGACCCTATAAAGTATATACATTCTTGATCAGGGTAAAATTCTAAGACGATCACGCTATCTTCTGAAGGAATTGATATAGGGTGCTGAAATTATGTATAGGTTTGTCTTATGTCTGCAGGCAGGTCAAGTTCGACCGTCTGTTGTAATCACGCTATCTTCTGAAGGAATTGATATAGGGTGCTGAAATTATGTATAGGTTTGTATTATGTCTGCAGGCAGGTCAAGTTCGAAGATGGGATATATCGGTCCAAGTTTAGGCATAGCTCCCATATAACAGTATCCCCCAATTTTCGGCATTTTGGGGTTCTTGAGCGCGTTTTTCAACCGAAATTTGGTACATTGGGTTCTTATTGTCTACTAAATGTCTCCACAAAAAAATTATAGATATAGGTCCACTTTTTTTGATAGACCCCATATTACGATACCCTCTAATTTTAAGTATTTTGGAGGTTTTGATCGTATTTTTCCACTGAATTGGCTGTAATTTAGTATTTTGAGTTCCTAATAGGTACCAAATCTCTCCACAAAAAATTATAAATATATGTCCATTTTTTCGGATAGCCCCATATAAGAATACCCCCAATTTGCGGTATTTTGGGGTTCTTAAGCGTATTTTCAACCGAATTCGCTGCAATTTGGTATTTTGCATGGTAAAAAATCTCCCTACCAAAAATGTTTATTATTCGCCCCCTTTTTGGGGTCATCCCCATATAACCCACTATTTAAACCATACACAACTATGTTGTCAGGGTATTATAGCTTTGTGCAGCCCCAAAAGTTTTTAACGCCGCGAAATATTGGTCCCAGACCCACCTTTAAGTATACCGATCGTCATATCTCGTCAGTCTATCCATTATAATTTGTAAACACGATACAGGCCACAGTTATGGACCAATCTTCACAAAATTTTGCATGCAGGATGGGTTCTGGCCAATGAAGTCCCCTATTTGGGAAATATCGCCTAATATTTAGGGGATGAAATGGACTAAGTACTAAATTTTTGTTGGGTTTTCTGGTCGCTCCAGAGGCCGCAATAATGGCCCGAACATCGTGAAATTTTCCATGGAGAAGGGGAACAGGCCAAAGAATAAGCATTCCTGTTTTCATAAAGATCGGCCAATATTTAGCGGGTCAAATGGACCTTGACTTTTGTGTGAAAAATGACAAAATTTGTATTCTATAGCGTATATAATTACCCCTGAAGGACATAGGCCCGAGAAGTTTATATTATATCCAAGATGAGTGGTTGACCTTTAAATTAATACGAATTATATTGTTGTATGTGCTCGAATGTGGGAGTTACACCTAAATATTTACAGGTATATCCGTATTCGTATATTATTTAGTAACCCATTATCACTCTATAGAGCGGAACTATAGCGCTGATCGCTTTTGAAATGTTCCATGAGGTTCCAGTTATGGTCAAGGACAACGTCTATAATTTTCGGTGATGATCAGATAATAATTTTGGAATGAAGTGGACCGAAAACTTAATTTTTTGTGATATTTTCGAGTCGATCTATAGACCACAAATGGAAGCCGAACATCACAACACAACCCACGATGAAGGGAATCTGGACAATAGCTGTACTGAATACTCGTAATATTCAGCAAAATATGTCAGTGTGATGAAGAGGTGCTGTTTACCTGTAATCGGGCAAGTGGGTGCAAATAATACGAAATATTGCCCAGTCGAAAAAAATTGAGTTCCGTAGTAGTTGTGTAGGGTATCGTATGATCGGCCCCGTCCGACTATACTGCTCCGCTCACTGGTTTGTATTAAAATAGTTATATGATTTGTTCCGTGTTTGGATTTGGTTCTAAGACTCTGTTGTAATCATTTCATATGCGGAAGATACGAAAAAAAAACATAACATAAGTCTTGATAATTTACATTATATATATTCATGTATATGAAGTGTAACCCGCATTTAGGCCTAGCCCCTGTGTGGGAGGTATCAGAAGGAGTGGACCGATATTCCCCATGTTCGAACTTGAAGTAATTTTGGAAAAAGTAATAAGTTTAGATGAAGTCAAAAATTTTTGAAAAAAAATTAGGCCAAAGAACCCCATGTTTCTAGGACCAATACTTAGAACCATAATCGGTTTGTAGGAATGTCGGTATAGGTACACATTTTGGTATGTTTCCTATATTTTTATTTCAAGTACCTGTCAGTATATCTATGGTGGAGGGTATCCAAAGTTCGGCCCGTCCGAACTCAACGCCTTTTCACTTGTTACTTATTGAACATTTCTGTATCAAAATCTCAACATCCAGAAGAAGTGTACTTATTGACTTTTCACGTTAAGCCAGTGATATATGATTCCGGATATGTAAATCGTGTCATTAGCATAATCCACAACTACGATTAGGTCATGGACGGTTGTCCCTCCTAATTCATAAATGGTTCCAAGCCTAATCTGTCTTAGGTCTATGTTTGCTGTCAAATTCGAAGATGGACTTTATAAATACCAAAGCGCCATATAATTAATTTTCCGGTTTTCGATCTTTAGAAATTTTTCAAAGCATGAATAGCTTGTTATTTTGCCATCAGCGGTAAGTATATAACTAAGGAGGAAATAAAAAAGTATACATTTTTCATAATGAAGGGACAGCAAGAACAAATGTTGAACATGTGATAACAGGCATATGATAAATTATGAACATATGATAAATTATGATAAATTTTTCGTTTTAATTTTTAGCAAGGTTTGTTTATAAGGATAACAGGCAGGCGAATTCATGCCTTAAAGCGGATTTACATATAAAATTTAATCATGATTAAAACCTGAATCAGGGGTTATTTTCTTAATCAGGCTGAATTTTCCACGATTTATCATACAAATTTAAATCATTGTGTGGCAGGGTTTATTATAAATCATGATCGAAATCATGATACTAATGAGATGCAACGCAGTTCTTGTACGAAAAAATACAACTCTCTCACAACTTTGGTGCACCATTCATCTTAAATCGAACGATAATATATCTAAATCTTAACCGATTTTCACGAAAATTAGCACACATAATTCTAAGCTTAATTCAGTAGGCTGTGCCAAATTTCGTGCAAATCGAAAAATATTTAGGGACTTTGGTGCACCGTTTACCTTAAATCGGACGAAATTATATATGGGAGCTATATCTAAATACTAATTCGATTATACTTTGATGTTTTTGTTAATATTGAGTTAATATTGTTTTTGTGAAAGACAGACGAACCTGGCCGAGGGTTAAAATGAAAATTGCTATTTTTTCTAAATTCTGTGCCTTTATATGATCTTAAATACAAAAATTTAGATTTTTATTCCGACAATTTTTTTTTTTTTTTTTTGACACCGAAAGGTTTAACTTCTTCTAACTATTTCTAGAATATGTCATATTTATAATATGGTAGTCACTTTTACACGTTGAAGAACACTCTTTTCATAACTCAAATAAAAATAATTAGGACGAAACCTTTTTAAACTCTTTTGTTCTACTCCACTAATTTCAAAATTTGCTTTACAAATTATATGAACTAAGTACTACAGGCATGGATAGGTGTAAACTCCATATTGTCTCTATTTACATAAAAACAGAAGTGAATCCTACTTTTTAACATCCCAAGCAGCCAAATTAAACACTTTTATAATAAACGTTAATTTAAACATTTAAAGATTTTAGCATCAGAAAAATTTACCCATTTTTCGACAAAAAAAAAATATGAAAAAGCAGTTTACCAACAATTATCAGAATTGAACTACTATATAGAAAACTACTTGACGTATCAATACCAAATTTCATATTTATTCTACTTGTTTTCTATCAATTCTCATCAATAAATTTGTCCTCCGAGGAAGTTGGTTTTGAAAATTTTTGCCGCGGTCGTGACACTGTGTGCAGTCATCGTACATAACCTGACGGCAGACAAAAACAAATATATGCAAACTACAGCAGCTTATGTCAATTCCTTTGCAATTTTAACCAGATCAAGAATGTTTATACTTTATAGGATCCTAAGTGAATACTTCGATGACAAAATTAATATACCCTCGATGCAACTGTGGAGGGTGTAAAAAGTACGACAAACTGTACTCCTTTGTGTGATATGTCATCATTAACTCATTTGGCACCTCCGTCCTTTAAAAAAAAAGACCAAAAATGACAACAAACAACCGTATCACAGTGAATTTCTATAAACAATTTTATGTTATTCTTGTATATTTTTCTATGCCAAATCTAAATTTTATTCAAAAATTTTTATTTAAAAAAATTAATTTTAATATCATTTTAATATTATATTTAAGATTTTGAAGCACAAATCTGTGGCGTTATCAGGGTTAAACACAAAAATAAAATTTAGCTATTCGACCTATTTTTTTAATTTATACGCAACATTTTTTTACAATATCATTTTTTTATTTATAATATGTCTATACTTTTCTTTTCTATCATTCAATCTCCATTTTTGGTTATGCAAAACTCCAACAAGCCAAAATCCTAAAAAAGTCTTCTGAGAAAACAAAACATGCTAAAAAAAACACCATCATCTAATTGCTAAAAAAGCATCCCCCAATTTCATAAAAAAAAAATCTGCAACCATTTCAAATATCCACTCAATACAAATGTTTTCACTCAATTCATCCACTTGCTTTAGCAGGCACACTTTGCACTCAACATAAACATTCCCAACACTGGCAATCATTAAATCGTGATTAGTCAACCCTGAACAATTGTGACGGCAACTCCACGACTGCAGCCAACTTCGGACAACGGGTTTGTTTTGGTTTTTTTTTGTACGGGGCCACCAAAAAAATCGTCGAAAAAAACAATTAGCACCTTAGTGGAAAGAAAAAGAAAAGCGCCACAAGTAAATTAGGTGGAATGTTCAATTGAAAGCTATTAAATTCATGTGAATAAATCTCAGATTATGTGTTTAAACTCGAGCAGTGATGTGTGTTTGTGTGTGGAAATGACCAGAGGAAGCCGTAAATGTATCAAAATGCCGCCTTTGTAACCCGTATATTTTTTGTGTGTTGTACAAGCAGCAGCAAGATTGATTCTTTCGTCGGTCGTATGTTGTCTTCTGTGTCGTCACATAACTTGCTAATTAAATTAATTAAACTTTAATTACATGATGAAAAAGGAATTTTTATGAAAAAACTTTGTGTAACTCACTCGATCTCTCCGTGTGAAAAGTAGTGATTTAAATTAAAATTACAATCCACGAACTGAAAAACAGGAGCCCCAAACAGCTACAGCAGAAGTTATTTGGTATTGTGTCTTGCCCCTGGTGTTTGTTTTCTCCTCTCCAGTAGCGCGCGCCTTTGTATGTAACTTAACAATGGATGAACAATTAATCGATGAAGTAGCTTTACATGCGGTTATATACAATCGTCAGAAATATTACCTCAATGGCAGTGTAAATGGTCAAAATCCCAATGGCAATAAATATGAGACAAAAGATGAAGCCTGGCAGGCTATAGCATTAAAGTTACGAAGTGATGGTAAGTGTTGTTGTAATTTTAATTAAATTAATTCTATGTTCAATTTTAATTATTTCCTCAATTCTAGGTAAGGTGTTTTGTATATTTCTCCAAATGAAAAGAAAACATATTCCAATTGATGTATTTTGTAATCAGCATGATCTTATTAGATATTGAAACTCAATTCCTAACACGAATCAACATATTATCAACAAAAATCACCCTTCTTTCAATTGTTCATAAAAAATTGGAAATTGAGTGCTATGTATTGAGAATATTTTACTCTGAAGAGTTATAAGCCAAAGTTGCTTTAACATGGCAAATTGAATTGAATGCAAATGCCTGAAAAATAATGTATCAAGAATGCAGAGACAATGCTCATTTTTGATTAATGATAAATTTAAACGAGTGAAAAAAGCGTTAAGTTCTGCCAGCCGAGTCCAAAGTTATATGAGGCTATGCCCAAGGGGGACCAATATTGATTACATAGTGTACGAAGTAGCAAATATTTGGGGTTATCATTTAATGAAGGCTATGTCTACTTAATGACCGATATATGTCAATTTCGAACCCAATATGTTAGTTTTGTATCTCAATTCTTTCCTTGAGGAGGTATCATTATATCGATATATTTCATTACCTTCAGGTTCGACTTTTTTATCACAATATCTTTAGAAGGCAGAATGATTACAACAGATGACTAAATCGTCTTAGAATTCCACACTTTAACCTACAAAGTGTGGAATTCACTATTCCGAGTAAAGACTATCCTCCATACTATTGTTGAATATGCCTATATGGGGACAACTCAAACACACGGAACAAATCAGCTAACTATTTTAATATTAGAAAGAGGATTAGATGAAGACTACCCCAAAAAGGGGGTGAGTATTAATAATTTTTGGTAGGGAGATTTGTTATCATATACGACAACAAAATACCAAATTACAGCGAATTCGGTTGAAAAACGCGCTCAAGAACTTCAAAATACAGAAAATTCGGGGGTACCCTTATATGGGGACTACCAGAAAAAATGTGGAGAGATTTGCTACCCAATAAAAACTCAATGTACTAAATTACAGCCAATTCGTTTCGAAAAATGCGATCAAAACCCCCAAAATACTGAAAATTAGGGACCCCGTTACGTGGGGGGTACCAGAAAAAATGGGCCGATATTTATAATTTTTAGTGGAGATACCTAGTACCCAATATGAACATAATGTTCCAAATTTTAGCGAATTCTGTTGAAAAAAGCGCTCAAGAACCCCAAAATACCGATACCCTTATATGGGAGCCATACCTAAACGTGAACCGATATAGCCCATCTTCGAACTTGCCCTGCCTGCAGACAAAAGACGACTGTATGCAAAATTTTGGCGATCTATCTCAATTCCTTTGTGATCTATCTCAATTCCTTTATTTGGAAGGCAGCGAATTTGATAAAAAGTCTGGATGCAGAGATCGTTGAACCGGTGACTATCTTTGACTATTATTATTCATCGCCTTTTAGGGGTACTGCCCACATAACCCCATTTTTTTATATTAAAATAGTTAACTGATTTGTCTCCATATAGTCATATTGCACGATAGTAGGGGGAATATTCTGTATTTTAAAGTATGGAATTCTAAGACGATTTGGCCCATTTATCCACTGTTGTTGTAATTATTCTACCTTCAGTGGATATCGTGATAAAAAAACTAGAGCGTCAGGATCGAGAATGAACTATTTCGGCCCGCATTTAGGCTTAACCATCGGTAATTCCTAATTCCCTTTTTTTTTGCAATGAAAGTTTTCATATGTTCCCTTTTTTATTTGAAGAAACTATAGGTATATTTATCGAATTACTTATTCTTGGGCGCCTTCGGGGAGCAGAGCTGAATACTAATGGACGCGTCCACAGGTTGCGGATAGTCATTGGGTAGCTGTGAATAACAAATAAACAGTCGCGGACAATCAGCGGGCTCAGGGGGAGAGTCTCGGAGGAAATGACCAAGTGCCTATGATCCCTGGGCTTACGAGGCGAGAATGGCGCCCCTAAATAACCATCTCAAAGGTTTGGGTCATTACCTTTCAAAGTGACCCGCCTAACGCGGGGGTGTCATGCGACCTCGTACCAAACAGCGTACTACGGTTTGCAGTCAGGGTCCCGACTGTATTAGAACGGAGCCTTGTTGATACCTGGGCGCCTCAACAAGCTTATTCAGGCTTAGCTGCCAAGTCCTTGCCATGGTAAGAGGCTATGCCATGGTCGACCTCAATCCCTCACATACAGCACATTCTATGGAGCCATCACGGGAAAGGAGCTCCTTTTAATCAGGAGGAACCTTAAATTCATCCGGAAGTTCTCCAGGATCTATCCGAATGATATTGAGAGGGATTTCTTGATTGAAAGATCCCCACAGTAGTCCATTCAAAGAAGGAGAAACCTGTCGGAGGTTCTAATACACCTAGAAAGCTCGGCCCGGCCGAACTTAACGCCGTTTCCACTTGTTAGCTGTTTCTCAGTGATAACAATGAGATAGATCTGCGTCGTGAAAACTCCGACCAGATGGATTTTAATGTTCTGCATTTAGGCTGCTCAAGCCATCAAATGCCTGTCTTCTCGTTGTTGACCTTGTGAACTTGTCAATTCAATAGCCATTTGGTGATCCAACAGAATCCACAATCTGCAGATCGGATGAATTATTTAGAGATAATTTTTGACAGTAAAAAACTGTACCATTACCGTAGAATTAACTGTATTTGGCTTCTAAAAAGAGTTTCAAACCAACAACATATTAACCGGGTAAAGGAAATTTAGTTTAGAGGCTCCGCATTTCAAATCTTCAATAAATAGATCAGTGGAACAGGGTAATTTCAGAATCTTCTGATAATTCCAAAAATTGTTAATTTTGAATGCCCTCAGAAATAATCGGTTTTAAGTCAATGTTACAATGACCCTTTCAAGAAAGTTTTTTTTAGCAAATTTTATTAAAAATATTATAATTTAAATTTTACAATAAATAATTTAATTCGATTATATTTTATAACAAAATATCTTTGTGGCAATAAAGGTAATGATATACCAATACTGCAGAAATACAAAATTTGCACTCTTTCAAATTATCATCAAACTAAAAAGTGAATAAAAAATGGTTTCATAATTTATCCATACACAATAGCTGATAATAACTAACCACTACCACAAGGAAGATAAAAGTTATGAAAAAACACCCCTCTCTCTTTATCCATGAGATATTTGTACATAAAAAACAAGGGTCCTTTTTCAAAAAAACACTCAATTCATTCATAACAAAAAAATAATAATTGCCATTCATAATTATTCCTCTTCAGAAAGATTTTGAGTTTGTTTCGTTGAAAAAAATTTCACTCATACTTTACGCCTCAAGAGCAGGAAATATTATTGAACTCAATTAAAACCAAAATAAAACAAAAACTGTGGGTGCCTTGTCTGTCGGTAATGAATTCATAACTGAACAAAAAACCACCACCATACACCACACAGGTTTTTTGAAATCTGGCACATGTTGTGCCAATAAAAAAACTCACTAAAGCAAAACGTTTGTGCCCGGCCTGGCCTGCCTGCTTTTACATAAAAAATATGCAACCCCATAACGTTTTTTTCGTTCATTACATTCTTCTTCTACTCCTGTCTCATAAATACCCCAGAGATTTTGCAAATAACCACTCACATAAAAAATGCTTTAATTACTGCTTCCTCCCCCTGCAGCAGCCTGTAACGAAAAAAGGGATGGGGGGAAACCTAAAGCCTGTGTTTTATTCCTATACCGAATATACATATTACAAAAACAAAAAACAAAAGAGGTTTTCCATAACCCTGTGATTTAGTTTGCTAGCTCCTGCCGCAGGGGAGGAATGAGAAGAAAATAAAAAAAACTAAACTTCATTTTTTGTTTTGTATTTGCTGTAAATGTGGGTGACTTTCAGCACTTGCAAAAAACCCCCAAAAAAAAAGAAGTGTGGAAAAAATTTGCAAAATCCACAGTATTGGATTAACAGTTTCCCAGCTACAACCCTTTTTTGGTGTTCAGAAAAAAGAAAAATTCGTTACCTCTAAATGTGAAAAGTGAATTTTGAATTTAAAAATTTTCGTTATAAACATATTTGAAAAGACATTGGAAAAATGCTGGAGAAACAAATAAAAGATAATATCATATTCAAAACACCATATTTGGAATTGTTTTATTGTAAGATTTATTTAAATAGAAAATTTAAAAAAAATATATAATTGTAAAATTTGAAATGAACGGATCCGAGTGAATTAGTACAAATCATAGGTTTTCTCTAACAAAATAATAAAATAGTTTTGAAATTAAAAAAATAAATGTTTTATTTATGATTTAAGTAGATTTTAGTAATTAGTTAAATTAAATTAAGTTTTGAAATTAGAAAAATAAATAAATAAATTATTTGTTTCTGTAAAATTTGAAATGAACGAATTTGTTCGCTGTAGAAAAAATAATAAATTAAACAGTTTTGAAACCCATAGTGTTTGTTCCTTGAATTCGTATTTTTTTCAAATTTTGCATATAATTCCTTATTTTGTATAAATAATTTTTAATTTTTTATTGAATAATAATATTAGAAAAAAAAAATAACTTTTCCCTATCATTCTTTTGTTTTCCAGTGGAAACGTGTAAAAAACGATGGAAATATTTACGTGAACGTTATGTCAGCCAACGTAAACAAGGCGATCCACCCGTTTACGAACATCTCTCGAGGCCATATTTGGAAAAAATGAAATTTCTCGATCAACATATACAGCCCCGCAAATCATATCGAAATGTGCCGAATTTCCTCACTTCTCCCCATTCGACGAACGGTTCTAGTTTCAATGATTACAATATGGACTCAAAATCGAATAGTTCCCTTAAAAATATTGGTCATTTTGGTCAACATCATCATTTTCAGGATCAACAACATGCCATGAACGCGTTAAGTACAGCAGCGGCTGCTGCCTCCGCCTTGGAGGGTGATAGTCGTGTTAAAATCGAAGCCGATCAAGTATTTCGTGATTTTGCTGCCGCCGTAGCCTCACAACATGGCCAACTAACACCCATGCTACAAACATACAATGAACATTTTCGTGATGCTGCCACCAGTGCTTTATCGGCTGTGGTGGCCAATACGGCCACAACGAATGGTAACAATGGTGGTCTGCACTCGTCATCGTCATCTATGAAATCACCGCTTTCCTCACCATTGGGAGCAACACAAAATGGTTCAAACAGTGCTGGTCACTCGACATCTACACCCAATCATCATACCGCCTCCTCTGCCTCCGCAAATAACCTCAATAATTCAGGAGCCTCATCGACGGCTGCCGGTGGTGGCAGTGACCTTGGCAATGGCAATCACTTCAATGGACAGCATTTCAATGACTCTCAACATGAGGATATGGATTCATCGAGTAGTAGTAATTATACGAAAAAACCTAGAGTACAATTAAACAACTCGTCCACGGAAAATGCCCTTCATCACAATGGCAGTATACATCACAATAGTTTAGCCCATAATAATAATCATCATCATCAGCTTAACAACTCCAACAATTCACAATTTGGTGGCACCAATGGTATAACAGGCAATGGCGAAGAATCTGATGAAGATTCCGATGAAAACAGTGCATCCATGATGCAACCCCAAAGTATACTTACGGATACCGCCAATGCCGAAAATCCCTTCAATAGCATACCACCAGCAGCATCACCGGCACCCTCAAATGCCTCCTCCACCAACGCTTTACAACGTTCCAATTCAACACACCTCAATACAAATACACCAAATGGTGTCAATCAACCGACGGCCGCCATGTTTCCAACAAATGCAGACTTCCTTTTCCAACTGTATCAACAATTACCGCAACATCAAAATAATCTGCAGCAACAACAACAGCAGCACCAGCAACAACATCAACAATTTGGTAAATTTCAAGTGCCACAAACACCACCGCCAACACCGACGGTCCAACGTAGTTCGGAACAGTTGTTGGGTGAGCTGGTGACCACCGAACTATTGAAAATGTCCAAGGAGAGGCGTAAAAGTGTACAAAAGCGAATATTGGAAATATTATTTTTTGATGATTAAATGAAGATAGTACCACGCGAAAAGAATGAGAAGGAGAGACAAGTTGGAATGGTAGGTGATAACGAATTTGGCAAGATTTGAAATGCTATTCACATATTTTGAGGTTAATGACAAATCGCTTCCATTGGCGGCCTATTTTAAAAATGTGGTTTCTAAACCCCAGGGGCATCGAATTCTAATCGGTGAAGTATTGTCAACACAGTTAAATTTTGAATTTTCAATAATAGCTTCAGCTAAAACCCTACCCCCCATTCATAACTCCACCCAAGATGATGAATCCAATTCAATTTATTTCATAAACGAGAACCTAGCTCAAAGGGCCATGAGGATTCGAAAAACTTTTTTACATGGACTACTCCAAAAGAATTGGAAACTGTTTCATTTAAAAAATCTTTTTTTGAATCTGTCAGTTTTTAAAAATAGTTTAGTCCTTAAAAACTAGTTTCCAAAAAAATATCTGGTAGTTCTATTAGCAGTAGTAATCCTGTTAGTCCATGAAAAATTTTTAAAATCCAAGTCATGTGGTCCTTGTAAACCAATTTAAAAGAAGTGGAAATGCCTTAAGTTCGGCCGGGTCGAACTTTAGGTATACCGATAGTTACTTGAAATATAAATATAGGAAACATACCAAAAGCTATAACTATACCAATAATTGTACCAAGCGATTGTTGTAAACCTATTTTTTTAATGGAGATTTTTCCTAAAATCGCAAAACTATACTACAATTTAGAGGGAAAAATTATATGAGGCCATCGATAACGTGCACAGGATTTCATTTGGGTGGCGTCGGAGCTGCTGGTTCAATATAAAAATTTTAATTCTAGCAAAAAAAAATTTGTATGCGTACGTCCCTGGAGGACATCCAGGGCCAATATTGATAATATCGTGTGGGAATTACCGAACATTTCGAGTTATCATTATATGAGGACCGATATAATTGAGGAGGATATAACACAATTTCGAACCAAACATTTTTGAATCACCATACCTACTCTGTTCCTCTAGACTATGGTCTATAGCACTAAAGGTTAAAAACCAATGTTTTAAATACAAACGATTTTAGGCTAATAGGTCTACAATCAATAGGAACAGTTATGACTAGTAGTCCTTGGTATTATAGCATAAATAATCCTAAAGAAAATTCCTTTATTAAAACCAAATTTTACCTAATCTATTCCAACTTGTTTCACACACACGCAGAGAATATCTAAAGACTCATAATAAATTTTATTTACTTATATACATTTTACCTAGGTCCTAACATATCCATAATTTACTCAAAATCCTCGCCCAAGATTTATCTTTTAAAACAAACCATATATTTATATATAAATAGAACTTATACACATTACTATTAATAATAAGATTATTTTAGTGAATAAGTTTGAAAAAAAAGTAATCAACCTCCCCCAAAACTATTTATTTGTTTTTCTAAAAAAAAATTTCCAAACTAAAATAAATACCATCATTCCACTTTAAAACAAATACCATAAATATATATAACAAAATATATTTATAATTGCGTTTAGCAAAATATATATACAATTCTAAAATAATAATAAACAACAACAAGAAAAATCGAAAACATTTAAAAAATCCCACCTATTTTTAAGTAAAAATTGTGTTTTTATAATTTCGCTCGATACAAAAAGACGAAAATCTATTGATTTTTGTTTTGTTCTACCACCACCAACAACACCACAACTACTACTACTTCCTAACTTCTAGTCAGTATATAAATATTGTATTTTATTCTGTATATTTTATATTATTAATTTCTGTATTTCTTTAATTATATTATTGTTTTTTATTTAATTATTTCTATTTCTGTATACATATATATAAATATTTTTACATTATATGTCAACAAGAATTTTCCTTAAATGTGTATTTACATTACCGTAAGCTAAGCTTTAACGTTTTACGTTATATACATATATACAACAAATTATTTAAGAAAAAAATACAATCTGAAAACTAAATTAGTAATTACTAGCAAAGTACCCGCTACTTCGTATGCGGAAAGGGAATAAAAAAATATTTCATATGGAAATCGTGAATGCCGTATAATTAGTTGTACTATAGTTCTGAATTCCAAATCTGTTCCTACATTTAATATCAAGTTTATTACCATTAAGTACTCTTCATACACATAAGCACTATTTTCCGAAATCCACACTTTAGCAAAAACGTACAGGTTCCACATGTAATTCCATTTAGAACTTTTCGAACACATAATTATACATTTTCAAGAGTACCTCTATACCGTCACCTCCACTAAATTTAGTACCAAAAACCCTTTGGTCCTTCTTTCTAACTCTCTGTCAATGAGCAACATTCTAAATTTTAGGTTTCCAGATCTCTCCGTTACCCAAATTCAAATTATTCCAAATTTAGTGAATTTTCTTCCACCATAGTCCAAATTGTTCCAAATTTAGTGATTTTCGTACTCATAAGTACAAATTTCCAAATGTACCTCAATCCTTCTTTCAAATAGTCCAAATTTAAGAATTTCAGCTCTGTGTGAAACCATTCCGCACTTTTCGTACCCATATACCAAACCAATCTCAATATTCCAAACCTGCTTTCAATCGTAAGTCCAAATTTAAGAATTTCAGCTCTATTTGTTCACTAAACTGTACCATATTTGGTACCATTCTGTACTTTTCCTACACTCCCAGAGTAACCTAAGTTGCAACATTCAGGAATCGAGTTCTACCCGTTCACCGAAGTCCAAATTGTACCAAATTTTTTGGTTGTCGTACCCAAAGTACAAATTTCCAAAAATACCTCAGTCATGCACTCCAATAACAACCTTAGGTCCACATTTAAAGATTCCAGCTCTATCACCAACATCCAAATTGTACCATTTATTACTATTCGTAGACGTAAGTATGAGTTTCTAAAACTGCCTCAATTTCCCACTGAAACAGTAATTTTATTCATTAATTTCAGGATAACAGCAATATCTCTTCACATAGATCCAAATTGTACCATATTTAGTACTTTTCGTACTCATGAGTTCGAATTTCCAACACTGTCTCAATCCTTTGCTATAAGAGTAATTTTATTTTCAAATCCATCCATATCTATCCTTTCACTCAAATCTAAATTGCATTAACTTAGCACCATTTAGTACAGATATTTACGTATTTTTAAAACTACCTCATCCTACACTCCAACCTTATTTTTAAGTCCAAATATTAGGATTCCCGCTCACACAAAACGAATTTTACCATATTTAGTACCAATTAGGTCTTCTCGTATCCATAAGTACGAAATTCCAATACTTCCTTAATCTTGTAATTTTAATTCCAAATTTACGTTTACTATCTCTATCCGTTAACTCGAATCAAAATTGTACCAAATTTTTTTACCATTTACCATAATGAAGAATTTTAAAAAATTGCCGACATATCTCAATTCTGCACTCAAACTGTAATATTAATTCAAAATTTCAGAATACAGCCCTATTCGTTCACACAGTTGTAAGTTTTTCGGTACCATTTAGTAATTTTTGTTTCTATAATTAAACATTTCCTAAACTATGTCAATCCTACACTCCAACAGTAATTTTAATTAAAAAATTCGGGAGTCCAGCTCTATCCGTTCACATGTAATCAAGTTGTACCAAATATAGTACTATTTAGTAGTTGGTAGGTGATATGCTTCCATATCTCAATTTTATATTCAAACATCAACCATTAGTCCAAATTATTGGTTCACCCAAATCCATCTAGTGCCGTTTAGTACTTTCCGTACACATGAATACGAGTTTCCAAAGATGTCTCTATAGCTCAATCCTCAACAGAAATCTTAATTCCAAATTTCAGGGTTTCAGTTCTATCTTTTCAACAAAATAAATTCAGTAAAGTTTAGTACCTTTAGTACACTTATAGGTCGAATTTCCAAAAACCCTTTTGCACATCTTTCTAACATTCCATCAGTGACCAACATTCCAAATTTCAGAATTCTAGCTCTTCCCGTTCGCTAATAAAAAGGGTACCATATTTGGTACATTTTAGTACTTTTCGTACCCTTCTACCTCCAACAAAACTTCCTTCATACCCCGATCCTACACCCCCATAATGATTCCAAATTCAAATTTAAATGTACTAAATTTAGTACACAGTAGTACGAATTTCCAATACTTCTTACTAAACCCACACCCCCACAGTTATCCTAAATCCAAGTTTCAGAATTCCAACTCTATCGGTTCACACACAATCCAAATTGTACCAAATTTCGTACACAGTAGTATGAATTTCCAAAACCTGCTACTTACCCTAACCCTACAACCCCACAGTGACCCTAAATCCAAGTTTCAGGATTACAACTCTATCGGTTCACTCACAATTCAATTTGTACCAAATTTAGTACACTGCAGTACGAATTTCCAAAACTTCCTACAGACCCCAATCCTACACCCTCACAATGATCCTAAATCCAAGTTTCAGGATTCCAACTCTATCGGTTCACCCACAATTCAAATTGAACCAAATTTAGTACATAGTTGTACCAATTTCCAAAACTTCCTAAATATCCCAATCCTACACCCCCACACTGATCCTAAATCCAAGTTTCAGGATTACAACTTTATCGGTTCACTCACAATTCAATTTGTACCAAATTTAGTACACTGCAGTACGAATTTTCAAAACTTCCTACAGACCCCAATCCTACACCCTCACAGTGATCCTAAATCCAAGTTTCAGGATTCCAACTCTATCGGTTCACCCTCAATTCAAATTGTACCAAATTTAGTACATAGTTATACCAATTTCCAAAACTTCCTAAATATCCCAATCCTACACCCCCACAGTGATTCTAAATCCAAGTTTCAGGATTCCAACTCTATCGGTTCACCTACAGTTCAAATTGTGCGATATTAAGTACACAGTAGTACGAATTTCGAAAACTTCTTACTTACCCCAAAAATAGATGCTAAATCCAAGTTTCAGGATTACAACTCTTTCGGTTCACTCACAATTCAAATTGTA